TGTTTCCATCTTCAACTTAAAGAAGCTTTGCTGTGGAATAAATTTGAATGAATCAAACCAGGTAAAATTTTTTACATTTGTCATTCCCTCATGTCATTTTTTAGAGTAAAATAAAATACAACTTCATCGAGAAAGTGGATAATTATATGTTGCTTTCTTGTATGAATATAATTGTATGTGATTGACTTCAGAAATTAATTAGGCCTAACTGTTATTTTTAAATTTTATTGAATTCGTCATTCCCTCACTAGTGTATAAAGTGAGGGAATGACGCTGAAGTGAGGGAATGATTCAAGATGAGTATATTATTAAATTTTTTTTTGTTCAATCGTGCCAGCCAATTTTATTTCCCAAACCTGTAAAAACTATTAAATATATAAGACTAAATTATAATAAATATTAGATATACTTAGTATGTTATCATTTTCAAACTTTAGGTAGATGTAACTTAGATAAAAACATGTATTAAAATAAAATATCATTCCCTCACTATTAGTGTCATTCCCTCACTTTTTAAATAGTGAAAATAATTAATTTACTTATTAATTAATTTGAAAAATAAATTAAAAAATTAATAAATTAATTTATTAAATTAATTAATTTATTTATTAAATTAATTAATTAATTATTAATTATTATAAATTAATTAATTATAAATTAATTATTTAAAAAATTAATTAATTTAAATATTAAGTATAATTTATAGGATATATACTTTCTTTATAATGCCATTACATATTTCTATTAATATAAAAAGTTTCAGAGCTTTTTATTCACTTTACTTTTTCGGGATTTTATGAACTGAAAAATGACAGTTTTCGTGAGAATGACCCTTAATAATTCTTTGTTGTAGTGTTCTGAAATTAGGACAGAGGTGAAAAGGATTAGTTATAGTTCATGATCCAAACAATTGTTCAAAAATTTTGATTGATCGTTTGGGAGAGATGTTTAAAAAATGATATTTTCCCATATCAATAAGCCTTTATAAATAAAATTGCAGACGATTGTGTTTTCTCAAATATTTTAAAGATAACATCAGGGATGTTTTCCAGCTTATAGCTTTCATAAATAGTTTTTATTATTTAAAAAAATAGTTTATTGCACTTTTTTTAATGTTTAGTTGTTTTTTATTCTTTATATCTCAATTATTAACCTGAACGTGGTAGTATAAGTGGACTACCTCACCAAATGAGTATTCCTAAAGTAATCTGAAAAGACGTGTTTATTTTTTTCTACTGTTTGAAACGTATTAATGTAAATCAAAATTATTTTGAATTAATGGTAATTTAAATAAAATAAATTAGGTACTGAAACGCAAAATTAATGGAGAAATAATTTTTTTTCGTTTAGAAGAAAAGAAAAAAATTTTAATACTTTTTTTGACGCCAATGATGCTAATTTGATTTTAATAATGAGTATTAGCTGAAAATAAAAAATAAGCTATAGACTAAAATGCAAAATTAATTGAGAAATTCAATTAATTCGTCTAAGAGAAAGGTAAAAAATCGTTGTGCTATTATTGACAATTATGCTTAATTAAATTTGGTGAAGGCAATAATGGTATCATGATTATTGGTGCAGTTTTATTATAGATACCGCTGAAAGGAGTTTTTCATTACCCTACGAATAAGTACAGGAAAAAACCACCTGTTTGTGGTACATTTTGGTGATTGTGAGTCTTCTTCGTTCAATAGCATTTTTATTTGAACCGAACGGACTGTAAGGGTCAGGGAACTGGCCTTGCATCAGAAAGGTTCTGGGTTCGAATCCCAGGCATGTCATGGATGTGCCTTCATTCTCTATCCTATCAGTCCTTCCTGTGGGTGCAACGTTGGCCCACCTAATATGATGCCACTGAAAGAGGTAATAAATCTGCCCGGTAAATGTCTGCATTGACAAAATGTTAGTACAGGTGTACAGTCCGCAAAAAAAAAGATATCACCCTGAATAACTTTCGTTCTAATAATCCGATTTTCAAGAACTAAGTGTCAATCTTAATGGTTCCGGGGGGTGACTTCAAATATGCTAATTAATTAGTGCTAACTATTAATTAAGATACGAAATCAGACACAAAAAAGTACTTTCTCTGAATAAACATATATTTTTTTGTACATATTTGGAATCCAGACACTTGAATCAGAGGGGGTAGACAAAATTTTAAAAGAATTGGGTTGCAATAAAGGTTTATATATCTGGCGATAGTCCAGAAAACCACCAAAAAAAAGTCGCCAGCGCAAATGAATATTATAAGATAACCCATTGATTAATTCAAAAGAAGAATGCTTAATTTTACTAGGTTGCTAGGCAACCAAGCTCTGACAGTAAAAAAAATTAAAATAATGTTCCGTGATTGTTTAGAGAGGTTTAATTAATAGTTGATAGAAAATATCTCGAAGTTTCAAGCAATAGACAATTTTTAAGCTGACTTCTGTCCAAAAAACAAATTTCTTTACTTTAATCTCCTTTGAAAAGAAAATTTGAATCGATTTATATATTATATATGATTTTCTAAGTTTTTAGAGTTTAAATACATGAACTTTTTATCTGATATTAATTAGATTATGTTGTTCTTGCTATATTTATTCGAAGATTTCATACTAAAATCAAATTAACTTATTGCTTTACTTTTTAATTTTATTATTTTAACTATTTTATTATTTTCACTTTCTTCCTCGTTTGAATTTTCAAGGAAATGTGTTTCGATCAGATTTCATTCTGGAAATAGCGAAATTATTGAGTAGGTCTCTTGGAGCAATATCATTCATATCCTCTTTTGACGAAATATAGAAAAAATTGGTTTTCACAGTTTCTGTAAAAAGTATTTTAGCCTTCTTGCCCCTTTTTTTTTAAATTTTTATTTTTATTTTTAATCATAATAAGTTCGGAAATTGCGTATTTTTTATTGCATTTTTCTTTTTAAATCAGATGATTCTAAAATTGGCACCGCTTCGGAATCTTCTTACAAATTTAAATTTTTAGCATCTCCTGCTTAACAAAATAAAGCATTTTTCCTGATAACAAATTATACTACAATAATATCTTGGAAATTATGCTAAAGTAAAAAGTTAAAGAAAATAGTTTAGTATATTATCCGGAAAAAAATCTACATGGAATCACAAAGAAAGAGTAAATGATATAAAGAAATAATTAGTGAATCACACGTGGTCAGATAATTAAAAATTTAATTTCACAACTAAGATGTTAAGACGACAGTTAACATACTGAGATATTTTAAGCCGCTTAAAAATTTCGGCTACGTATTCGACAGTTTCTTATGCTCGGTATCTTCATAATCTTTGTAGTGACTAACATCAATACCATTTTAGACAATCTATGTTGAAGTCACAAGAAACAAAAAAAGACAATCAATGATTTATATTCTTTCTTTCGAAAAAAATGTTACACTTATTAGTAAATAATCAGCTGATTTGCATCAAACAATTTTAAACAGCGGAATGTTTTTAATTTCTTAACAAGGTTTTATTCTTAGGTAGCAGACAATAATTCTTTCAAAAAAAAACTTCACTATAATTTATAAAGGAACTTTACTTTAAATAAAACCTAAATTAAAGTGTTAAAAAAATTAATTAGTATATTGATGAGGAAGTAATAAACGTAGTAGGGTAAAGAATAAGATTTTTGAAAATGTTAAAATTTAGTTAAATAGTTGGTAAAATAGTTCTGCGAATCACTCGGACAGGTGATTAAAAAATTACTTTTAGGACGATATATAAGATGTGGAGAATTTTGCGATGATGTGAGATACGCTTAAAAATGTTTACTACGTATTTTTATTAATATTTATAAAAAAATATATTCAAGAAATTGATAAATATTTTATTCCAAATCTATTCATTAGTATATATATTATTGGAATTGCATCAGTTATAGAGGGAAAAAACTAAAAAATAAAAAAATTATCACATTAAATAAGCATAATCTGGTGTATAATCATATTCTGTCAGAAGCATGCTTTCATAAAACTTGCAATCGTTGAATAAAATGTTTTTTATTCAATAAAATGTTTTATTCAAATTTCTTTACAAAATTGCGAATAGATTTTTAGACGACTATAAAAGAAACATCGTATTTTATAGTTTTAAAAAATTAAAATTAAAAAGATTAGTAAACGATTATTAGCGAAAAAAATATGAATGAAATTTTACGTTACGCGCTCTAAGTCAAGTTCCTGGTAAGTTTATCACATATTAATATTAATCGCCCCATTTAATTATTTCTTCATTGTCGCCAAATTATTTTTTTAAATAATTAATTTTTTTCATCTTTTAATAAATAAAAACAGTTGAAATTTTAGATTTTTCAATTGAAAAATATGCTTGGACCATTAAGATTAACACTTGGACCATTTAGATTAACACCACGCTTGGGACCATTAAGATAACAATTAGTTCGTGAAAATCGGATCATTAGAGCGAAAGTAATTCAGGGAGATATATTTTTTTTGCGGACTGTACCTTGGAAACAAATAAAATTATAAAAAAAGTATTTTAGGTTTTTCTTTATCCAAAAACGTAAAGAAACCGAGAAGGACAAATAACAAAAATAAATAAATAAATATAAATGAAATTATTCTAGCTGTATTAATTGTGTTTATATATGTCTTTCAGTTTTGTACATGATTTTGTAGTTCTGTATTAAATTAATGATTATTTACCTTTTTCTCAACCCGTACTTAGAACGGGCATCCAGCTAGTAATGTAATAAGATTAACTTTTTTTTAATCGGCAATAATATTTCAAACTCATTATTTAGATAGCATATATTATTATATTACACTTTCAAACTCACGCGAAACATAATCAGGAGAAAACCTGATCAATAACTTCTAAATTTCTGAAATAATATAAGAATTGAACTTATGAGGAAGTCGCAAGTAAAAAGTTTTTATCTGAATCTTCAACACGTGTATCCAACTGTTATCTTTAAATTTCCTTATACACTTCCTCTTACACTAAAGAAGAAGAAAATTCTAATCAGTGCGTGTTGTTTTGACAGCGCGTGTCTAGAATGTCAATGATAACGCGTTGTTTCGACTGCTCGTGTTGTTAATAATTCATAGATGAATCAGATACGTTGCAGGAAGTATACACACGGCATCGAACTATTGCTATAAAAAGCATACCTTTGCATGTTTCCTTCTGTTTCGACATGAAGTGCTTCATATTTTCAGTTTTATTGATCACAGTGGTCCTCCTTGTAACAGTACAAGGTCAAGGTGGTAGTCCTGGTTCTCCTGGAGCAGCAGGTAGACATGGCTCTCCTGGACAACCAGGTAGTCCTGGTTCTCCTGGAGCACGAGGGGGTCCAGGTTGCCCTGGTGGTCCAGGAGGCCCCGGTGGTCCAGGAGGCGATGGTGGTGTAGGAGCCCCTGGTGCTGGAGGAGGCCAGGGAGGCAATGGTGTTCCCGCAGGTAGCCCTGGTGGTCCAGGAGGCGCCGGTGGTCTAGGAGGCGATGGTGGTGAAGGAGCCCCTGGTGGTCCAGGAGGCAATGGTGGTAAAGGAGCCCCTGGTGGTGGAGGAGGATAAGGAGGCCCTGGAGGCAATGGTGCTCCTGAATCACGAGAGGGTCCAGGTTACCCTGGAGGTCAAGGAGGCGCCGGTGGTGACGGAGGCGATGCTGTTGTAGGAGCCCCTGGTGGTCCTGGAGGCAATGGTGGTGAAGGAGCCCGTGGTGGTCCATGATACCATGGTGGTCCAGGATACCATGGTGGTCCAGGAGGCACCGGTGGTGACAGAGGCGATGGTGGTATCGGAGGCCCTGGTGGTCCAGGAGGCGATGGTGGTATAGGATCTCCTGGTGGTCCAGAAGGCCATGGGGGAGTGGGAGGCACTGGTGCTCCTGATGGTCGGCCAGGTAGACCTGGTCGTTCAAGAGCCGCTTTTGGTCGAAGACGCCGTGAGAGCCCGGGAGGCTACGGTGTTCCTAAGGAAATGATCATGCTAACCTTGTATCCAGAGTGTGCCTCTTATGGTTAATTAATGCACGATCTGTTTAAAGGTAAGTTATCTTAAATACGTGTTAAAATGATTTTTGTACTGTTTAAGATTGGAACAATTTTAAAGTTTCAGTAAATAAAATAAGAAATAGCTTATTACGTAGCAGTAACTGTTTTTTTTTTGTCATATGGTTGGTAAAATGCAAAATATCGATGTCATCATTGTTTACAAGCCACTCTTAATAATGGAATGTAAAACTGGTTAACTGTTTTTAGAATGTAAAATATAGAATTATACCTATGTCACGGTTGCATTTAATGTAAAGGTTTGTGTAATGAAAAATTAGTTAATTGTTGACAGAATACAAAACTTAAAATACATCACAATGTAAAATAGTTTGGTTGTTTGATCTATCTTAAATTTCCTTTTAACTATTTGGTTCTGGCTTTTTTTTTTAAATATAATTTAAATTTAAGTTTTAAAATAAAACAATAATAGATTTGATTCTGAAATAATATCAGATATTGTTTAAACATTATTGTATGTTTCCAACTTAAGTTTGGCAACTATTCTGGAAATAGAAATGTCAAGGACAATTTTTCGGCTCATGGCGTAGCTTATTTCTACACATTCCTGCCTAATTCAAGTTCAATGTTATGTACAATGCACAAGATAAAAACTTGACCTCCTTGAATAACTTTTGATCTAATAAAGGTATTTCACGTTCCGTGACTCAATGGTTAGAGGGGTGACTTAATTAGTGCAAACGATATTTTGAGTTAAAAAATCAGGCACAAATTTACTAAGTTTTGGTTATATAAGAGGTTTGTGGTTATATAAGAGTTTCTTATGAATTTACCATTGATTTCAGATAAATTATAAATGCAAATGAAAAGTCGGCGGTTTTCGAATAACAATACTAACACAAAATGAACCACCTACTTTTCATTTGTTCTCGTTAAAAATTTTATAAGAGATTCCTGCAGCACATTTAAACTCAACTTTTATAAGTTATACGCAATATTTTTTTTACTACTTCTTCGTCCAGACCGATAAAACAGTTTTTGCCCTTTAAAACTTTTAAAATTACTTTTTAGCGACAAATACCCATAATATATAAATATAACGTTATAATATGAATATTTAGTAACGAATACAAAATAAACACGTGGTTTCAAAGTCATGTGTTTACTTTATTTATACAGTTTAGCAATAGACATAATTTTGTTACTAACATCAACATACCATTCCAGTTGAATGGAAGTAATGGAATAGCTTTTTGAATAGTTTTTTTTTTATTTATTTGTCAAATTTCTTCTGTGAGATATCGTAGATTTGCATCACTGGTGTACACTTTCATGCGCATTTGCGTAATCATACTGTGAATAATTTAGTAGAAATTTGTAAATGAAGGTTTTTAAGTTGTTAAGTTTTTTCTATATTATATTAGTAACATATTTTGCTTTCAGAATTTCAACAAGAGGTCATAAAATACAAATTATACGGCTTTTTTACTAATTTTAATTTTTAATGTTGCTGTACATAGTTTCAATTAACCAGGATTAGGCATAAACAAACAGATTCAGATGTCTCTTCTGGGCCCGTGTATGCATATGGCGGCGGGGTTTTTGTGGACGTGCCTTTGAAAGAAATATGAATTTGTTACAAACGTAACAAATTTGCTGTTAATTATTTTCTAAATTTGAATGATTTTGTAGAATGATATACATTTAAAAATAGAGGCTTCAATCTTAAGTTTATCACGGAATCTTTGCATTAATTCATTTTTTAAAGGTTTTGAGAACATTGAACAGAGTTGCTTTATGAAATTAGGGAAAAGAATATGATTCAATAAAGTTGGATTAATAACGAAAGCAAAGTATTTTTTAAATATTTATTTTTTGTAATACATTATTCTAAAACAGAATAATCACGAACGGTCCTGTCAACGCTTTTGAGATTTTTTTGCGTGTGCTGTCCATTCAAAACATTTCATCATTAATTTAAAACTATTGAAAATTCAACTTAAAGTTGGCTTTCTGCTTTCAGATAAATTAAATTAAATAATAGTTACAAATTAGTACTTTAATTATAATATGTCAATATTTATTCTCCACTAAGACTTGGATTGTAATTAATTATATTAATTGAGTTGTATTAAACGAGAAAATAATAAGTTATCAAGGTTCGTCCACACTAGCCTCATAGCTTGTCCCATTTAGTAGGACTAGTGTCTACAAAAACAACCATTTTTATTATCAAGGTTCGTCCACACTAGCCTCATAGCTTGTCCCATGTAGTAGGACTAGTGTCTACAAAAACAACCTTTTTTATTATTAAGGTTCGTCCACACTAGCCTCATAGCTTGTCCCACGTAGTAGGACTAGTGTCTGCAAAAACAACCTTTTTTTAAAACAAAAATTATTTTGAAAAAATAAACAGTTTTGTAACTCTAAATAAAAACGGGAATTTAGTATATACCTATATTGCCTAACAGCAGTCAAAACTACTGTATTGTGACAGAATAAAGAAATTTGTTTAAAATTAATTTTTAATATTTTTTATATTATTTACAATTATATAACACGATATTAGTAAATATTAACAATAAAAAAAGTACATACTGTACAAAAAGTCTCAAAATTCTAAGAAATTTTGTCTTTATATACACCATTGTTTTTCTAATTGAAATTAAAAAGCAGTCAAAATGACTTCCTTAGGCAATCTAGTGTTAATATGGTATTTTGATAAATTAGTGAAAAATGTCCACATACTTTCCTCTCCCCTGTCTGAATTATTTTGATGCGCAGAAAATCTTACTTTTCGAAAAGCAGCTTCGCTAAAATGTCTATCATTATAAAAGATTTTGCATTTTGTATTTTTTTTAAAGAAATGATAGTAAGTAAAGTCATATAATTAAAAATAATTAATTAAAACAATTTATTTATAACCTCTCTGACAGCGCATCCTAGATCTACTACATAAAAGAATTAAAAATTTGATTTATTTTAAAACTTTTATATAAAACACTTAAATTAAAACTTTAAAAAAAAACTTTTTATCCTATTTTGATTTAATGATCTTGTCAAGAATCCAAATCTGATTAAGAAAGTAATTTTTATGACTAATTTCGTATCGTCTTGACCAAAGCACTTGAACAATTAAGATTGATTCTTAAATACCTGTAAATCCATACTGAGAATAAAAGTATCAAACATACCAGAATATGCTAAAATTTGCCGTGTCTCTGGCTCTATCTATGGGAACACTTAAAAGCATGTTAATTTTTCGAAAACTCTTTGGTAATGACTTCAGGTAAGATTAACAATAGAATGCATTTTTAAAGTTATACTTCTTATACGACTTCCAACGAGGTTGCGTTAAACGTTTAACGCCACATTTTTATTGGCCGGGAAATCACGTGGTAGGATCCAGTTTTCCATCATTCATTTCCATATTGTTTTGGTTCTCATTAGCATAAAAATAATGAAAGTCATAAAACTTTAGTTTTTCGATAAATATTATTTTAGTTTGTTTTGTTCCACATATAATTTAATAGGGTGCAGGAAAAAGAGTCGTTGAACAGAACTAGTGATCCTTCTACGACTGCTGATTCTTCTACAATTAACGTCGCAGGTTACGAAGCTTAACTTCTTCCACGCGGAGGGACTCCACGCACTTTTTTTATTTGCTTTCCAATCAAGTTTACCTTGACTTAAATTGTATGAAACACTTTTAGTTGCCAATGAAAAAAATTTAAAGTAAATAATAAATCAAAAACAAAACAAGGAAATCTGCGGTAGACTTGAGAAATTATTGAGACCAAATGGGGTAAATCAGAGCAAGTGAGAAACTCATGCCGTTAATTAAGGAGTCGACATCCACATTAACGATACAAGATTCCAGAGCAGATTCGAGATATGTATTAATTTAACGTAGGTATAAAATATATGTATTATATACGTATTAATGTATTAATATAAGTTATGTATTATATGTTATGTATTATACTTTATGTATTATGTACATTATGTATTATGTATGTTATGTATTAATATACGTGGGTTTTTCTTTACCAACTCTGTTTTGTATTTTTCATTAATGTCTGGTGGCTATTGAAAATGGGTTCTTTGCGAGCAAATCGAAACGTATGCACTGTAATAAATTTCATATCGAATTGCGGTAAATTACCAGCACCCCGTATGCATCAATCGTAAAATTAATTTTACCGTTTAATCCATTTTTACAGCAAAATTTTATACCATATATTTTACATTAATAATTATTCAACTATAGTGACTCAGTGATTTTGAATTGAATATTGCGGTAAAAATTACGGTATATAATATTTTTTCTCCCGTAAAAGTTTACGATAAAAAGTACCGGAAGTCTGGATGACGTACGTCATACTGTAATTTGATCCCGAATTTTCATCGTGTAGACTTTTTCCACCTTAAAATGTTTGAAGTGACTTTTATTTCTAATAGTAGAATAAAGGTAATTTGCCGTGTTCCTTAAATTTTAAATTTTTTTATTTCTTTTTTATTTTTATATTTATTTATTTATCTTTTAGATATGCATGTCTGAAGATATGGAAAAGGTTCGCTGTGCAGTAACTGAGCCAATGCCACAAGACTGTGTTGATAAGATTATGGAGTTTGTACAAGGAAATTTATGCTCCGGAGCCGAAGTTTGATGAAATCGAAATTTAAATTGTAAATATAACTGTTGCCACCTTTTATGATGAAACATGAAATGTCGGTGAAATAAATATATTCAATTATAAAATTCTACATTTTTTTTATACAAAATTTGTTTCACTAACACACTTTAATTGTTTAAAACCCCCCAAAAAATCATTAATTTAATGCTTAAATGATAAGTAGTTGAATTTCTTTCTGAAAAGTTAGAATTCCGATTTTAAAATTTGTTTTAATTATGTCGCTTATTTCTAAGAAAAATTTTCCAATTGAATTTTTTAAAATTAGAGATGGATCAGATTATAAACAGCCATTTATACGACTGATTAGTCAATTACATTTTTATTCACTTATAATGCTGATCTGAAAATAATTTTGTCTTAAAATAAAATGGCTATTTGATTAATTTCGGATGCAAAACTACAAATATTTTGTTAAAAGAAATATATTAAACCTTGCTTTTAGAGTTACTCATCGAATGCTGCAATGATTTATTTTATATCTAAGGATTCAAATAGGCTACAACTATTACAACTTAACATATTAATTATGACGAAAGAATAAATTAAATATAATGCTAAACAAAACATATTTCATTTAATTGTACCGTAAACCGGGGCGAGTCTACCCATTTTTTCAGTTTGTCTACTTTCAAGTGGTCAAACTTTTGTAAATATTAAAGAAAAAAGGCTTTTAATAGGTGTTTCGGAATCGCTATTTATCCCTCTTTAAAGCTGTGAAATCGATTTTAGAAAATATTAACAGTTACGCTGTTACTGTATATTTTTATAGAACTGCTGACAAATCTCTCGTATGGGGCGAGTCTACCCATTCTACTAAAATGAATGTTAACATACTATCGCCAAATATATAACTATTAAATTGTTATTTTAGTTACTATATAGGATATTTATGAAGTAAAATTCATAACTTTATTAATTATATATTCCATTTTTTTATTCATAAAATAACACAAATAGAGTATTTGATCGATTATTACATTTTGATCACAGTTTTATTTTTAAAATCATTAACATTATAAAATAACATTTTTGTTCTGATTATTGTTGATAAAAATAAATTAAAATTAATATTGTTATTGTTTGGCTTTTATCCTTTGGATAGCTTTTTCCATCTCAAGTGGCATTTTTTTGTAACATTTGAATCCATTTGTTTTGCGAATATAATTTCGAACCATCTGTAATAATAAATAATAATTTATTTAAGTTGCATTAAATAAAAAAAGTTAATTCTGTAATATAAAAATTGAAAAAATAGGTAAAATAAACATATTTTATATTTACATTTATATTTAACCTATAAATTTTCTTATTAATGATAAATTTATCAATGCAGAATTAAAATAATATACTCAAATTCATTTTAAATGACTTAATTTTATATAAACAAAGTTCTGTTGTTGTTGTTGTTGTTACTTATCCTCTAATTGTCTGACGAGGTCAGACAAGATCCAGTAGTTTGTTGTTGACCCTCAAAAAGTCGATTACAAGAAGTGGAGAAGCATATAAGTCCTCCTTGGAAAGGCCCAAGCAGTCGAGGTAATGTTCTGCTGAGGCCTGCTGGGCTTCACATTTAGAGCAGACTGCATAAGTCTTTCTTCCTTTAAAGTACGAGAGACTGTTCGTGTGTCCGCTTGTCAGTCTGGAAATAGCTGTTTGAGATGCTCTTTCCCCTGTATGAACAAGTGAAGAGCCCGGTTCCTTGGCCGCATACCAATGATGAGAGGGGGGGATCCTCCACTTTTTTGATAGATGGCTTTTGATTTTGGACTGATACTCAGAAAAGGTAAGGGCTGAGGACGAAGATGTTAAATGACTACAGCCCTCCTTGGCCAAGCGATCCGCTTGCTCATTTCCAAAGATGTCAACGTGGGATGGTATCCACTGAAGATGAACGTCGTGGTGCTTTGAAATAAGTTGAAGTTTAAGAAGGATGGAGATGCTTGTTTTGTCTCCAACTTTAGTCCAGTTGTGTAGGTGTTGAAGGGAGCTGCAACTATCCGACAGGATCCAAAAATCTCCAAAGTCACTCTCGTTGATTATAGCATCGATGCCCTGTTCAATTGCGGTTAATTCACTTCGAAAGACTGAAGTGAAATCAGGCATACGGAGACAGATGGAGTAATTTTGCTCAGATATTTCAATGAAGACGCCGCTACCAGCTAGGTTTCCGAGTCCACTACCATCTGTGTAAATTTTTACGGCGTCACTGGGAATCTCGCCTAAAATTTCCAAAGCTAGCTGCCTAAGTTCAGCTGGGATAAGATCTTTCTTTGTGACCGGAGCAGAAAAGTCGAAGTGGAAATGGACTCGGGGAATTCCCTCTGAAGGATTCAGATAAGATTTTAAGGAGTGGGGCTCAACGTCTTCAGAAGGCAAATGCAGAAGTTCAACATGACTGAATGGACTGTTTTTCTTCAGTCGCTGATTGTTGCGCCAGTTGTTAAGGTAAAGAGAGATTCTATTGTGCTGACCATATCTAGAAAGTTTGAAGTAATTGGTGAGATTTGCCTTTCTTCTAGTTTGGAGGGGTTGAAGATCAGCCTCAAAGAGGACTATTTCCTTAGGGCAACTACGTTTGAGTCCAGTAATTATTCTTGCAGCACTTAGTTGGACCCTTTCCAATTTATCCAGGTTAGTGGCAGATGCACAGGAGTACACAGGAAAGCCATATTCCAGGATGGGTCTAATGAGAGACAAATAGGTATCTCTTAACGTGACAGCATCTGCTCCCCAATCTTTGCCCGCAATATATTTAAGCAAGTTTAATCGTTTTCTGCATTTTGAGACAATATGTTCGATATGTTTGTTGCTTGTCCATTCTGGGTCTGAGACGTATCCGAGATAAGTTGGATGCTTTTCGTAAGCAAGATTCTTGTTATCCATCTTTATATTTGGCTGATAGTTGTACAATCTTTTGTTGGTGGTAAAGAAAGTAACGATGGATTTGGCAGGATTAAAACAAAGTTTGAACTCCAAAGCGTAGTCTGAAAAAGCAAATAATTCATTGTTAAGATTCCTTTCCATTTCGACTAAATCATTTCCAGAGCCCCAGAGAACGATTTCGTCAGCAAACAAGCCAACTTTTTCCACTTAAGGAGGTGTTTTCTCAATGCCTGCCAAGTGAAAAGAGAAGAGCGTAGGGCTCAGGACCGAACCCTGAGGGACGCCCTGTCCGAGCTCAATTGGGTCTGAGAAGGTGTTGTTAAAATTCACCCTGATAGATCTGTGGTGCAGGAAATCCGAGATCCACGCCAAGGTGTAACCACGAATGTTAAATGTGTCGTGTAGTTTAATTAATAGTTTGTGCTTCCATACCCTGTCAAACGCTTTCGAAAGATCCAGGAGAGCGGCAATAGTGTGGTGGGTGGGCCTAAAATTTTGAGCATCTCTTATGTTCTGGCAGAAAAAAAGGATTTGATCAATAGTGCTATAGCCTCTCCTGTAGCCATACTGTTCACCAGGCAATAAGTTCCTGTTGTGCAAAAAGTACTGAATTCTGATTAATATCATCTTCTCCATTATCTTGCAAGCTGTATTGTAAGTGCTATGAGTCTGAAATCCTTTGGGGCCCAACTCTTTTTGCCAGTTTTCTTGATAGGGATTATAGTGGCTTTTTTCCAGTCAGCCGGAAGAAAAAAGTTCAACAAAGTTCAAAAGTTCAAATTGAAACAAAGTTCTAAATTATATTTTTAAAAGAATGCAAAATGAATATTGTAAGAACAGAAAATTGAACAAACTTTTAAACCGATTACAGTGCCGACGTAAATAGGTCAATGGATCATTGGTTAGAGTATAAGTTAGAGAAAAAGCTCGGTAGTTTTTACCGTAGCGTTTCGATAATGATTTTGGTAAAATTAACAATAAAATATGATTTCGTAATATGTGATATATAATTCGGTAAATGTGGTAAAATGTGATATTTTATCGTGATACTTCAGAGCAAGGCAAAATAAATCTAAAAACAGTTTAAATTCACTTTTTAGTTTTGTATTTAATACTAACTGAGTAGTAATAAGTAGGGGAGAGTGGGGTCAATTGTAACAGGGGACTATTGTAACAGAGCAAAAATTTCGAGTGCCGGGTTCTAGATTTGGTTCCTAGGTGGCGCACAAGGTGTAATTAGTAAATCTACATGCACACCCCTGCTGGCAACCATTTTTATGTACTTTTGAAAGAGTTACATCACAAAAGATATTTTCACGCTACGTACGTACTTTTTCTGGTATTAGAATATTATATTGTAACAAAGTAATTTTGTTTAAACAAATAAAAATTATTAACCTAATATGTAAGTGGACAACTTAATTAACATTTAAAAAAAAGATTAGTTTTGTTAATTAACTAGCATTGTTTTTAACAAATGAAGCTGAAATGGCGTCTTGGGGACGATTGTAACAATAAGTAAAGGGACGATTGTAACAGCTGAAAATAAATAATGTTATGTTTACAAACCATTACTTAACTCTTTAAGAACCACTAATAGTTTCCTATATCATTTATATTATGTTGCATGTGCATTATTTCATTAGTTCATTGTTACTTCTTCGTCCAGACCCATAAAAAAGTTTTTGCCCTTTAAAACTTTTAAAATTATTTTATTTAGTGACAAATACCCATAAAATATAACTGTAACGTTATAATATGAATATTTAATAATAAATACAAAATAAACACGTGGTATCAAAGCCACGTGTTTACTTTATTTAAGCAGTTTAGCATTCGAAACGCTAATTTGGTTACGTAGATCAACGTAACCATTCTAGTTGAATGGAAGTAATACAGAGGGGAGGGGGTAGTGTGGACTTGGTTTCAATTAATCAAAATTAAGCATAAACAAATAGATGCCTCTGTGGGGCAAGTGTGAACACATGGCGGTTGGGCTAGTGTGGACGTGCCATTGGAGGAATTTGAATTTGTTAAAAATGTAACGCATTTGACATTATTTATTTTCTAAATTAGAATGATTTTGTAGAATGATATACAATATGCAAAAAGTGGATTCAATCTCAAGTGAAAAATTTAGCACGGAACCTTTGTAATAATTCACTTTTCAAAGGTTTTGAGAACATTTAACAGAGTTGTTTTATGAAATTAGTGAAAAGAATATGATTCAATGAAGTTAGATTAATAAGGAAAACAAAGTATTTTTTAAATATTTTTTTTTTGTAATGCATTACTCTAAATCAGAATAACCACAAACGGTCCTGTCAACGCTTTTGCGATTTGTTGGCAGACTCCGTGTGATGTCCATTCATCATCAATTTAAAATTAAGGTTATTAAAAGTTTTACTTAAAATTGGCTTCCTGCTTTCAGATAAATCAAATTGAATAATAGTTTTAAAATGTATTGGCTTGCTTTAAAACTGTATTTCTCAGTATAATGAATAGGGCAAATTAGAACTTTAATTATAATATGTTGGTGTTTATTCTTAACTAAGACTTAGATTGTAATTGATTGCATTAATTGAGTTATATTAAACGAGAAAATAATAAGTTATCAAGTTCGTCCACAGTAGCCTCATAGCTTGTCCCATGTAGTGGGGCTGGCGTCTACAAAAACAACATTTTTAAAAAAAATTATTTTCAAATAAACAGTTTTGCAATTCCAAATATAAACAAGAATGCAGGTAAACGTCCAAATTATTCTTAAAAAAAACACTTCATGAGTTAAAATAATATATTAAATGTGGTATTTTCATAAATTAGTGAAAAATTGCCGAATAGTCAGTCCCCTTTCCCCTGTCTGGTTAATTTTAATGCGCAGAAACACTTATTATTCGAAAAGCAGCTTTGCAAAAACGTCACTCTAAAAGATTTTACATTTAGTAATTCTTTAAAAAGGAACGATGATAAGTAAAATCATGAAATCAAATATAATTGATTATAACAATTTTATTAACACTTCTCTGACAGCGTTTTCTAGATATACTACATAAATGAATTATAAATTCGACATGTTTTAAAATTTTTAAAATAAAGGTTTAAAATTAAAACTTCGAAAATAATTTTAATGACTAATTTCGTATCGTCTTGACCAAAGCACTTGAACATTTAAGATCGATTCCTAAGCACGTTTAAATCCATACTGATAAAAAAAAAAGTATTGTCAAAACTACCAAATTATAAAGTAAAATTTACCACGTTCTGCCTCTATCTATGGGAACGCGTAAAAGCATGTTAATTTTTCGGAAACTCTTTGGTAATGACTTCAGGTAAGATTAACAATAAAGTGTATTTATATTTGTTATTCCAGTCATGTTCCTTTGGACTTAAATTGCAGAAAACACCTTTAGTTACCAATGAAAAAAGTGAAAATAAAATATAAGTTAAAAGTGAAACAAGAAAAACTGCTGTAGCCTTGAGAAATAATGGAGGCCAAAAGAGGTCAATCAGAGCAAGTTAGAAACTCCCGCCGTTAACTAAGGGATCGACATCCACATTAATGAAACAAGATTCCAGAGCAGATTTGAGATATGTATTAATTCAACGTGGGGATAAAAAAATTTTGTTTTTGTTTTGCACCTTTATTTAAATTTTATTTTTTCCATATTATAGTTGACAACGTGACGTTTTTTTTTTTTAAATTTCTTTCAAACCAACTCTGTTTTGTATTCTTCATTAATGTCTGGTGGGTATTGAATATGGGTTCTTTGCGAGCATTGTAATAAATTACAGATCGAATTACGGTAATTTACCAACACCCTATGTGCGGGAACGGTCAAGACAAATTCAGGTCCAAGGCCCACCAAACTTTCCGGGCCCCTTATAAAATATTTTTAAATTAAATTTCTGAAAAGTAGTCTAACGATAAAAAAGAATCAACTGAACTGCATGATTCAAGAGAAACATTTAAAAAAATTTTGAAAGCGGTCAATTGAAGATTATTTGTTTAAGATAGAGTTTATGCATCTATATATTAAAGCAAAATATAAAACAATGTTATATCAAAACAAAAATAGTTTGGTGACCACAAATAATTGATTTTTGCTAAAAGTTACTGATTAGCTGATTTATTTTTTATCGTAAGCTGTAATTAATTCTCTTACTGAGTATTTTATTCAACACAAAACTAGCCAACTTTTCATCAGATTTCACAATAAGTTTAGCATGTATGCTAAGATATTAGGGTTATTAATTATAATTTTTATTAAAAAATACATTTCAACATACAAAAAATATCCAAAAGAGCCAAAATTATAGCAACTCTTAGAAAATTTAAAACGCATTTAAGTAATAGTTTATTTAGACACATCACTTTTAACAAAATCATTTTCAATGAAAGGTTGGTGAATGGTTGGTGACTTCAAATATGCTAATTAATTTGTGCTAACTATTAATTAAGATACGAAATCAGACGCAAAAAAGTACTTTCTCTGAATAAACATATATTTTTTTGTACATATTTGGAATCCAGACACTTGAGTTAGGGGGTAGACAAAATTTTAAAAGAATCGGGTTGCAATAAAGGTTTATATATCTGGCGATAGTCCAGAAGACCACCAAAAAAAAAAAATCGCCAGCGCAAATGAATATTATAAGATAACCCATTGATTAATTCAAATGAAGAATGCTCAATTTTACTAGGTTGCTAGGCAACCAAGCTCTGACTGTAAAAAAAATCAAAATAATGTTCTGTGATTGTTCGGAGAGGCTTAATTAATAGTTGATAGAAAATATCTCGAAGTTTCAAGCAATAGACAATTTTTAAGCTGACTTCTGTCCAAAAAGCAAATTTTTTTACTTTAATCTCCTTTGAAAAGAATATTTGAATCGATCTATATATTATATATGATTTTCTAAGTTTTTAGAGTTTAAATACATGAACTTTTTATCTGATATTAATCAGATTATGTTGTTCTTGCTATATTTATTCGAAGATTTCATACTACAATCAAAATAACTTAACTTATTGCTTTACTTTTTAATTTTATTATTTTAACTATTTTATTATTTTCACTTTCTTCCTCGTTGGAATTTCCAAGGAAAGGTGTTTCGATCAGATTTCATTCTGGAAATAGCGAAATTATTGAGTAGGTCTCTTGGAGTAATATCATTCTTATCCTCTTTTGACGAAATATAGGAAAAATTGGTTTTCACAGTTTCTGTAAAAAGTATTTTAATCTTCTTGCCACTTTTTTTTTTTATTTTTATTTTTAATCAAAATAAGTTCCGAAATTGCGTATTTTTTTTGCATTTTTCTTTTTAAATCAGATGATTCTAAAATTTGCACCGCTTCGGAATCTTCTTACAAATATAAATTTTTAGCATCTCCTGCTTAACAAAATAAAGCATTTTTCCTGATAACAAATTATACTACAATAATGTCTTGGAAATCGTGTTGAAGTAAAAAATTAAACAAAATAGTTTAGTATATTATCCGGAAAACAATTTACATGGAATTACGAAGAAAGAGTAAATGATATAAAGAAATAATTAGTGAATCACACGTGGTCAGATAATTAAAAATTTAATTTCACAACTAAGATGTTAGGACGACATTTGAGATACTGAGATATTTTAAGACGCTTAAAAATTGTGGCTACGTATTCGACAGTTTCTTATGCTCGGTATCTTTATACTCTTTGTAGTGACTAACATCAACACCATTTTAGACAATCTATGTTGAAGTCACAAGAAACAAAAAAAAAGACAATCAATGATTTATATTCTTTCTTTTGAAAAAAATGTTACACTTATTAGTAAATAATCAGCTGTTTTGCATCAAACAATTTTAGACAGCGGAATGTTTTTAATTTCTTAGCAAGGTTTTATTCTTAGGTAGCAGACAATAATTCTTTCAAAAAAAAACTTGACTATAATTTATAAAGGAACTTTACTTTAAATAAAACCTAAATTAAAGTGTTAAAAAAATTGATTAGTATATTGATGAGGAAGTAATAAATGTAGTAGGGTAAAGAATAAGATTTTTGAAAATGTTAAAATTTAGTTAAATAGTTGGTAAAATAGTTCTGCGAAACACTTCCGGACAGGTGATTAAAAAATTACTTTTAAGACGATATATAAGATGTGGAGAATTTTGCGATGATGTGAGATGCGCTTAAAAATGTTTACTACGTATTTTTATTAATATTTATAAAAAAATATATTCAAGAAATTGATAAATATTTTATTCCAAATCTATTCATACGTATGTATATTATTGAAATTGCATCAGTTATTGAGGGAAAAAAACTAAAAAATGAAAAATTATCACATTAAATAAGCATAATATGGTGTATAATCATATTCTGTCAGAAGCATGCTTTTATAAAACTTGACATTCGTTGAGTAAAATGTTTTTTATTCTATAAAATGTTTTATTCAAATTTCTTTACAAAACTGCGAATAGATTTTTAGACGACTGAAAAAGAAACATCGTATTTTATAGTTTTAAAAAATTAAAATTAAGAAAAGATTAGCAAACGATTATTAGCGAAAAAAATATGAATGAAATTTTACGTTACGCGCGCTAAGTCAAGTTCCTCGTAAGTTTATCACATATTAATATTAATCGCCCCATTTAATTATTTCTTCATTGTCGCCAAATTATTTTTTTTAAATAATTAATTTTTTTCATCTTTTAATAAATAAAAGCGGTTAAAATTTTAGATTTTTCAATTGAAAAATATGTAGATTAATATGACGTAAATAAATCCCTACCTTATAATTCAAAATTTTTTCTTCCTTACTTTAATTGAATAAAAAATTATAAATAATTATTAAAAATTATTTTTTTCATGAAATTATCTTTGAGTAAATGAGTTTAATGAGTGGGGGCAATTTTGTTTTGAATTGCTTCATTAGTTTTTAAAATATGACTGAAAACGCAAAAAGCGAAATTAACATTAAGGAGTCCAAACTTCGGTCTCCTAAACAAAGTATGGGGACCACATTTCCCAGATTGCGACTACCCCCTATATTTTGAAGATAAGAAATCCAGATGTAACAAAAAATACATGTTTATTCAGAGAAAGTACGCTTTTGTGTATGATTTCGTAACTTAAGTAATAGTTATCACTAATTAATAAGGTCACCCCCAGAGCCCATTAAGATTAACACTTAGTTCGTGAAAATCGGATCATTAGAACGAAAGTTATTCAGGGTGATATATTTTTTTTTGCGGGCTGTACCTTGGAAACAAATAAAATTATAAAAAAATTATTTTAGGTTTTTCTTTATCCAAAAACGTAAAGATGCCGAGGAGGACAAATAACAAAAATAAATAAATAAATAAAAATGAAATTATTCTAGCTGTATTAATTGTCTTTAAGCTTTGTGCATGATTTTGTAATGTTGTTCTGTATTGAATTAATGATTATTTACTTTTTTCTCAACCCGTACTTTGAACGGGTACCCAGCTAGTAATGTAATAAGATCAACTTTTTTTCATCGGCAATAATATTTCAAACTCATTATTTAGATAGCATATATTATTATATTACTCTTTCAAACTCACGCGAAATATAATCAGGAGAAAACCTGATCAATAACTTCTAAATTTCTGAAATAATATAAGAATTGAACTTATGAGGAAGTCGCAAGTAAAAAGTTTTTATCAGAATCTTCAACACGTGTATCCAACTGTTATCTTTAAATTTCCTTATACACTTCCTCTTACACAAAAGAAGAAGATAATTCTAATCAGTGCGTGTTGTTTTGACAGCGCGTGTCTAGAATGTCAATGATGACGCGTTGTTTCGACTGCTCGTGTTGTTAATAATTCATAGATGAATCAGATACGTTGCAGGAAGTATACACACGGCATCGAACTATTGCTATAAAAAGCATACCTTTGCATGTTTCCTTCTGTTTCGACATGAAGTGCTTCATATTTTCAGTTTTATTGATCACAGTGGTCCTCCTTGTGACTGTACAAGGTCAAGGTGGTAGACCTGGTTCTCCTGGAGCAGCAGGTAGAGATGGCTCTCCTGGATCACCAGGTAGTCCTGGTTCTCCTGGAGGACGAGGGAGTCCAGGTTGCCCTGGTGGTCCAGGAGGCCCCGGTGGTCCAGGAGGAAAAGGTGGTAGTGGAGCCCCTGGTGCTGGAGGAGGACGTGGAGGCCCGGGAGGATATGGTGTTCCCGCAGGATGCCCTGGTGGTCCAGGAGGCGCCGGTGGTCCAGGAGGCGATGGTGGTGTAGGAGCCCCTGGGGGTCCAGGAGGCAATGGTGGTAAAGGAGCCCCTGGTGGTTCCGGAGGCGATGGTGCAGAAGGAGGCGCTGGTGGTGTAGGAGCCCCTGGTGGTGGAGGAGGACAAGGAGGCCCTGGAGGCAATGGTGCTCCTGAATCACAAGAGGGTCCAGGTTACCCTGGAGGTGAAGGAGGTGCCGGTGGTGACGGAGGCGATACTGTTGGAGGAGCCCCTGGTGGTCCTGGAGGCAATGGTGGTGAAGGAGGCCGTGGTGGTCCAGGATACCATGGTGGTCCAGGAGGCACCGGGGGTGACGGAGGCGATGGTGGTGTCGGAGGCCCTGGTGGTCCAGGAGGCGATGGTGGTATAGGATCTCCTGGTGGTCCAGAAGGCCATGGGGGCGTGGGAGGCACTGGTGCTCCTGATGGTCGGCCAGGTAGACCTGGTCGTTCAAGAGCCGCTTTTGGTCGAAGACGCCGTGAGAGCCCGGGAGGCTACGGTGTTCCTAAGGAAATGATCATGCTAACCTTGTATCCAGAGTGTGCCTCTTATGGTAAATTAATGCACGATCTGTTTAAAGGTAAGTTATCTTAAATACGTGTTAAAATGATTTTTGTACTGTTTAAGATTGGAACAATTTTAAAGTTTCAGTAAATAAAATAAGAAATAGCTTATTACGTAGCAGTAACTGTTTTTTTTTGTCATATGGTTGGTAAAATGCAAAATATCGATGTCATCATTGTTTACAAGCCACTCTTAATCATGGAATGTAAAACTGGTTAACTGTTTTTAGAATGTAAAATATTGAATTATACCTATGTCACGGTTGCATTTAATGTAAAGGTTTTTGTAATGAAAAATTAGTTAATTGTTGACAGAATACAAAACTTAAAATACATCACAATGTAAAATAGTTTGGTTGTTTGATCTATCTTAAATTTCCTTTTATCTATTTGGTTCCGGCTATTTTTTTTAAATATAATTTAAATTTAATTGTTAAAATAAAGCAATAATTAATTTGATTCTGAAATAATATCAGATATTTTTTAAACATTATTGTATGTTTCCAACTTAGGTTTTGCATTTATTCTGGAAGTAGAAATGTCAAGGGCAATGTTTCGGCTCATGGCGTATCTTATTTCTACACATTCCTGCCTAATTCAAGTTCAATGTTATGTACTATGCTCAAGATAAAAACTGGACCTCCTTGAATAACTTTTGATCTAATAAAGGTATTTTCACGTTCTGTGACTCAATGGTTAGAGGAGTGACTTAATTAGTGCAAACGATATTTTGAGTTAAAAAGTCAGGCACACAACCTTATTTTCTCTGGAACATAGCTATTTTTTTTTTCTCGATGAATTTGGATTTCCGACACTCAAAATAAAATAGGCTAGCTGCAAGATGGGATATATAGAAAGTTTGGTCAGGAAAGTGTTCGATAGTTTGGACTCATTAATGTTTTTTTTTTCTTTTTGCGTATTTTGCCATATTTCAAGATCTCTTTAAACGAATTGAAAAAATTTTGCACATAAATATAAAATTCAATTAGCCACTGATAATTCCACGCAAAAAAAAATTAGTAAACTTTTATTATTTGCTATTATTTTAGTAAATAACAGTGGAAAAAATTCTTGAATTGTAAATTATGCAACTTTTGACATTGTTTTAAGGAATGTATTTTTACATGACAAGTTTGAAATTTTGAGCACAATTAGTCGAATTGTTCTTGAGAAAATGAATTCAAAAAACGCTACTTTTTCAAAATATGATTTCCGAGAAACTATTTGACCGATTTCGCTCAAATTTTGTTTTGTCCCTTAAAATTACATTTTTTGTAATGATGTAATAAACTACATATCTTACAATTTAATATAATGTATTTATTAAACGAACGAGTGCAAAAATTTTTCAATTCGCTTAGAAAATTTCTCGAGATATTGCGAAATACGCAACAAGTAAAATTAACATCAAGGGGTTCAAACTTCGGACAGCTCTCCTTTTCAAACTATTAGGATCCTATTTCGGAGGTTGCGGTTAGCCCTTATATTTTATGAGTTTGAAATCCGACTTCGTCGAAAAAAAGTTATGCTTACTCAGAGAAAATACGTTTTTATGTCTAATTTCGTAACTTTAAATACCGTTAATTATTCAGCATATTTGAGGTCACCCTTTTGAACCATTAAGATTAAATCCTAGAATGTGAAGATTCGATCATTAGATCAAAAGTTAAGCAGGGTGTCCAATTATTATTATTATTATTATTTTTGCACGCTGTTATGTATAATCATTTCATGACCTGTTACATTAGGCTTCTTAATTCTCCCTGGACAGGCTACGATCGATTTTACTTTCCACAATGGTGATTCATCAAGCATTAATAATTCTTTTTTTCGCTTAAATATTAGTTAGAGAAAATGTGCATGTTTGTTTGACCATTTTGACAAAAACTTTTAAGTTATATATTATTAAGAGAAAATAATAAAACATCTTATATTTATTTTGATACATTTATTTTATTTTTAGTAAATCTTAAATCATATATTACATTTAAAATGTAATAGCATGAATGCAGGCTATAATCGTATGCTATAAAAGCTAATTTTTTTTTCAGAAATGCAGAATGATAAAAGAATTGGTCCAGAACAATGTCAATCAGGAAATCATACAGTGAGTTATAGTTATTCAATAAACATAATTACATTAATGAACGTAATAGATAAATCTAAACATTCAACTCGTTATAAAATCTGAAGCATAGACAAACTTTCAAATAATTTTAGTTCTCATTTTAACGTTTTCTATAAAAACTCAACTTTTCACCATTTTAGTTCAAGTGTTACCATTTGGTATAATTTTTGAAAAGCGAAAACATTTGAATAGTTGAAAAAGCATAAAAATATTTGGATATTTTTCTTAAATTTATGTCTTAAAATTTTAGTTGACGGAAATAGTACACTGAGAAAAAAAAGCGTGTTTGAAAATACCAAAATACGGTAAAATTTGCCGTGCTTCTTGCTCTATGGGAATACTAAAAAGCTCGGTAGTTTTCACTGTAGCGTTTCGATAACGAATTTGGTAAAATTAACAATAAAATATGATTTCAAAATATATAATATATGATTCGGTAAATGTTGTAAAATATTATTATTTTATATCATGATACCTCAGAGCATGGCAAAATAAAATATAAAAACATTAGGTTAAATTTACTCTTTAGTTCTGTTTATTATACTAACTGTGTAGTAATAAGAACTATAATTTTAAAAACCAGAATTTCCGATAAACCGTGACTAAACGAGCTGGAAAATTACCAAATGAATGGTTTAAATACAGAATATTTTGGTTTCATTAACTAGAATTATGGGTTTATTTTCATTAGAAATGTCCTTACCAAACATTAAAGTGTTTTTATCAGACATTTTATCCCCTTTTTTGTACTATTAATAAGGTAGCCAAATTGCTAGTGTTACTGCTACACTGTAGAAATCAGTTATTCTACAGATAATCTTATTAAATTGCAGATTAACTAGAGTGATTTCTTAAAGTGCCTAAAAATCTTTCCTTTTCTAAAATTACCTAATTTAATTTCTTCATTGTAAAAAAGTGAGGCATCTTTTTGTATGTATTACTTTAAATATTACAAGAAAATAAAGGAATAAAAAATAAATAAAACATTTTTAAAAAAATAATAATATTTCTACGGGTTTGCATGTATTTCTAAGGATATGGTGTTATAAATAAAATATTACTTTTAACTTATAAAAATTGAGTTTATATAGTTCCGGCTAATTTTCCAGGTTATAAGTTCATTTTATATAAAGTTTATTTTCCTATAAATTTACTAAGTTTTAAATTACTTTTATAGTTATATAAGCGTTTCTTATGAATTTACCATTGATTTCTGATAAATCATAAATGCAAATGAAAAGTCGGCGGTTTTCGAATAACAATACTTACCAAAAATAAACCACCTTCTTTTCATCTGTTCTCGTTAAAAATTTTATAAGAAATTCCTGCAGCACAATTAAACTCAACTTTTATAAGTTATACGCAATATTTTCTTTATTACTTCTTCGTCCAGAGCCATGAAAAAGTTTTTGCCCTTTAAAACTTTTAAAATTACTTTATTTAGCGACAAATACCCATAATATATAAATATAACATTATAATATGAATATTTAGTAACGTATACAAAATAAACACGTGGTTTCAAAGTCATGTGTTTACTTTATTTATACAGTTTAGCAATAGAAATAATTTTGTTACTAACATCAACATACCATTCCAGTTGAATGGAAGTAATGGAATAGTTTTTTTTATTTATTTGTCAAATTTCTTCTGTGAGATATCGTAGATTTGCATCACTGGTGTACATTTTCATGTGCATTTGCATAATCATACTGTGAATAATTTAGTAGAAATTTTAAATGAAGGATTTTAAGTTGTTAAGTTTTTTCTATACTATATTAGTAACATATTTTGCTTTCAGAATTTCAACAAGAAGACATAATATACAAATTATACGGTTTTTTTTACTAATTTTAATTTTTAATGTTGCTGTGCATAGTTTCAATTAACCAGGATTAGGAATAAACAAACAGATTCAGATGTCTCTCCTGGGCCCGTGTATGCATATGGCGGCGGGGTTTTTGTGGACGTGCCTTTGAAAGAAATATGAATTTGTTACAAATGTAACAAATTTGCTGTTATTTATTTTCTAAATTTGAATGATTTTGTAGAATGTTATACATTTAAAAATAGAGGCTTCAATCTTAAGTTTATCACGGAATCTTTGTATTAATCCACTTTTTAAAGGTTTTGAGAACATTTAACAGAGTTGTTTTATGAAATTAGTGGAAAGAATATGATTCAATAAAGTTGGATTAATAACGAAAGCAAAGTATTTTTTAAATATTTATTTTTTGTAATACATTATTCTAAAACAGAATAACCACGAACGGTCCTGAAAACGCTTTTGAGATTTTTTTACGTGTGCTGTCCATTCAAAACATTTCATTATTAATTTAAAACTATGGTTATTGAAAATTCAACTTAAAGTTGGCTTTCTGCTTTCAGATAAATTAAATTAAATAATAGTTACAAATTAGTACTTTAATTATAATATGTCAATATTTATTCTCCACTAAGACTTGGATTGTAATTAATTATATTAATTGAGTTGTATTAAACGAGAAAATAATAAGTTATCAAGTTTCGTCCACACTAGCCTCATAGCTTGTCCCATGTAGTAGGACTAGTGTCTACAAGAGCAACCTTTTTTTAAAACAAAAATTATTTTGAAAAAATAAACAGTTTTGTAACTCTAAATAAAATCGGGAATTTAGTATATACCTATATTGCCTAACAGCAGTCAAAATTACTGTATTGTGACAGAATAAAGAAATTTGTTTAAAATTAATTTTTAGTAATTTTTATATTATTTACAATTATATAACACGATATTAGTAAATATTTACAATAAAAAAAGTACATGATGTTCAAAAAGTCTCAAAATTCTAAGTCTTGTCATTGTATACACCATTGTTTTTTTAATTGAAATTAAAAAGCAGTCAAAATGACTTCCTTAGGCAATCTAGTGTTAAATATGGTATTTTGATAAATTAGTGAAAAATGTCCACATACTTTCCTCTCCCCTGTCTGACTTATTTTGATGCGATGAAAATCTTACTTTTCGAAAAGCAGCTTCGCTAAAATGTCTATCATTATAAAAGATTTTGCATTTTGTAATTTTTTTTAAAGAAATGATAGTAGGTAAAGTCATATAATTAAAAATAATTAATTAAAACAATTTATTTATAACCTCTCTGACAACGCATCCTAGATCTACTACATAAAGGAATTAAAAATCTGATTTATTTTAAAACTTTTATATAAAACGTTTAAATTAAAACTTTAAAAAAAACTTTTTATTATATTTTGATTTAATGATCTTGTCAAGAATCCAAATCTGATTAAGAAAGTAATTTTCATGACTAATTTCGTATCGTCTTGACCAAAGCACTTGAACAATTAAGATTGATTCTCAAGTACATGTAAATCCATACTGAGAATAAAAGTATCAAACATACCAGAATATGGTAAAATTTACCATGTTTCTGGCTCTATCTATGGGAACACTTAAAAGCATGTTAATTTTTCGGAAACGCTTTGGTAATGACTTTAGATAAGATTTAAAATATTTATTTAATATATATATATATATTATATTTTTATTTCTAATTATACAAATATTTTTATTTGATTTTTCCAGTCAAGTTCCATTGGACTTAAAATATACAAAACACTTGAAAAATTGAAAATTATATATAAATTAAAAGCAAAACAAGAAAATCTGCGGTAGCCTTGAGAAATTATTGCGACCAAAAGGGGTAAGTCAGAGCAAGTGAGAAACTCATGCCGTTAATTAAGAAATCGACATCCACATTAGCGAAGCAAGATTCCAGAGCAGATGCGAGATATGTATTAATTTAACGTAGGTATAAAATATATGTATTATATACGTATTAATGTATTAATATACGTTATGTATTATACGTTATATATTATATGCTATGTAATATACGTTATGTATTATGTACGTTATGTATTAATATACGTATATGTATTAATATGCGTAGTTTTTTTTTTATCAATTCTGATTTGTATTTTTCATTAATGTCTGGTGGGTATTGAATATGGGCTCCTTGCGAGCGAATCGAAACATATGCACTGTAATAAATTCCAGATCGAACTGCGGTAAATTACCAGCACCCTGTGCTGTGTGCATCAATCGTAAAATTAATTTTACCTTAAAATCCATTTTTACAGGCAAATTTTATACCATATATTTTACGTTAATAATTATTCAACAAAAGTGACTGGGTGATCTTGAAATAAATATTGCTGTAAAAATTAAAGTATGTAATGTTTTTTGTTCAATAAAAGTTTTCGGTAAAAAGTACCGGCACTCTGAATGACGTACCTTGTACTGTAAATTGATTCCGATTTTTTCATCGAATAGATTTTTTTAACCTTAAAATGTTTGAAGTTACTTTTTTTTCTGATAGTAGAATAAAGGTACTTTTTGCCGTGTTCCTTAAATGTAAAATTCTTTTTATTTTTATATATTTATTTTTCAGATATGCATGTCTGAAGATGTGGAAAAGGTTCGCTGTGCAGTAACTGAGCCAATGCCACAAGACTGTGTGGATAAGATTATGGAGTTTGTGCAAGGAAATTCATGTTCCGGGAACGAAGTTTGATGAAATCGAATTTAAAATTAAAAATATAGCTGTTGCCACCTTTTATGATGAAACATGAAATATCGGTGAAATAAATATATTCAATTATGAAGTTCTATATTTTTTAATACAAAATTTGCTTCAATAACACACTTTATTTGTTCAAAACTGAAAAAAAAAATATTAATTTAATGTTTATGATAAGTAGTTGAATTTATTACGGAAAAGTTAGAATTCCGATTTTAAAATTTTTTTTAATTACATCGTTTCTTCCTAAAAAAAAATTTTTCTAATTGAATTGGTTAAAATTAGGGATGGATCAGATTATAAACAGTCATTTATACAACTGATTAATTGATTACATTTTTATTCGCTTATAATGCTGATTTAAAAATAATTTTGTCTTGAAATGAAACGCCTATTTGATTTAATTCGGATACAAAACAACGAAAATTTTGTTTAAAAATATATATTTAACTTTATCGTGACTTTTAATGGTGCAATAAAAATTTTATATATCTAAGGATTCAAACAAGCTGCAACTATCACAAGTTAATATAGTAATTATGACGAAGGAATAAATTAAACATAATGCTAAACAAAACATATTTCATTTAATTGTACCTCAATAATTTTATCAGCTGTCAAAAGAATACAAAATGAATATTGCCAAAATTTCAGAAAATTGAGCAACCATGTTTAAACCGATCACAGTGCTGACTTAAAATGATAAATGGAACATTCGTTTGAGTCCACTAGCTGTCGAGCTAACCGTGTAAGGTTTTTGCGATTTTCCTCTCTATGTAACGCAAATACAAGTTAGATCCATTACAAAGTCCTCCACGAAGACTAGTTTCTCACTATGCTTGATCTGGGAGTTACCTTGTCGTCGCACGTGGCTAGGGGCACATCTCTGTTATGACCTATACTGGAGCACACGAAGGAACAGTTCATAATTGGGTAGCCCTCTTAGCATCGTATGACAACACCTCTGGGCATGGATTATAATGAAATTTTAATTTTAACGATGTGCCTTAACTCTCTTGGAAGCTAGTCGCAACTTTTATGCAACTTCTTGTTGTGTGTTGCGTTTTTAAACTTGTACATTTCGACAAAAAAATAGATTAAATATATTTTTTTAATAAAGAACTGTACCTGGAAAGAGAAACCGATTGAAATTTAAACCAACGATACGAAAGATCTAAGATTTGATGAAAAAAATCTTATGCGACTGAAAATTTTTTTTCTTCTCCGGTATTATCAGTTATTATGGGTAACATGTATTAATCCAGAAGAAAAATTTTTTAAGTGGTGCTGCCATCTAGATGTTAAATTTGCAAAATATTAAGTTATTTTCATCTTATTTTTCAATAATTTTTAAAGGCTTTACAACTAAACTTTTTATTTTGGAAAGTAATTGATACTATCTGAAATCACTCAATTCATGATGTGTTCATTTAAAGCACTTGGTACTAAGATCATATACTGAGATAAAGGCTTAAAGGCTGCCCTCCCTGATGTGTACATCTAATTTAAGAGACACAGTTACATTATAGTTTTGTAATTAAAATGAAAAAGAGGATGTTCCTCTTTCATTATCAGGTTTCCATAGCCTCATTAATTTTGTTAGGAAGGTGAGATGCAATCAACAACTAATAGTACATTAAAGAAATTCTATCTGAATCAACAATTTAAATTACGTAAAGAAATTTTTAAATAGATGTTTAGTTAATAATGGTAATTTATAACATGTAGTTCTTTCAAAAAAAAATTTCTCGCCCCTATTTTATTTTTTGGAGTCTTATTTACTTATTTTTTTTATTCATTTTTTTATTCATTTATAACATGTAGTTCTTTTAAAAAAAATTTCTCGCCCCTATTTTAGTTTTTGGAGTCTTATTTACTTATTTTTTTTTATTCATTTATAACATGTAGTTCTTTAAAAAAAAATTTTCTCGCCCCTATTTTAATTTTTGGAGTCTTATTTATTTATTTTTTTTTATTCATTTCTTTTTTTTTTTTTTCATTTAAGTGAATGAACGTTGGTGATTAAACTGCATACTGGTGATTTGTAGTAGTGTCGAGGTTATTCAATAATAACGAGAAATTAGGAAATTTATTTTATTTTAGAACAGGGCTGAAGCTCCATTTTGAAGTTACATTTTCTAAAGATGCCCCCAGGTAACCTTCACAACAATTATATAGATTTCTTTTTATCTTAAACTTAACTAATTCTGACAGTTTATTTCTTTCAGTTTCGTGTATCATTTCGCAGTATTGATCATTATCGATCTATTGATTATTTAGTTTTTTTTCTAACTTGTATGAAAAGCGAATATTCTGGTAGCAATAATAAAATACTGGGAAAGTTGCATGAACACAAAAGAATAATTATTTTTAACTCAATTTTTCTCAGTGAGAACGTTAAGTTCATTAAAAACACAAAGTGTCTTAAACATTGTCTACTGACATATTGAGATATGTTGAAGCTATTTAAAGGCTATTTTTTTTTCTCTTTTTCAACTATTGATTCACAACTATTCAACTATTTATTCTTCAGTTATGTATGGAAGATGCTGTTTCAAGTCTTCCATTCTCTTCTTTAAGCTAATCGCGTTATAGAGTTCGAGAACAACACTCAGAAAAATGTATCTAAACTACCAGAATATGGTAAAATTTACGATGTTTTTGGCCTTATGAAAGCACCAAAGAGCTCGGTAATTTTTATCTAAGTGGACTGGAATCATTTAGCAATATAAATTAATTTTATGCACTTAAATGAGACTAAAATCAATACTTTCCCAGAGAAATCACAATTTTTTTGAAAGAAAACAAAATGTGATTTACCTGTTTCATCCCCTCAACTCTTTATATATAAAAACAAAATTTTAAAAAAACCGTCCAATTCACTATTTTTATTTTATTCATTATCACTCTCCAAAAGACTAAACAGCTTTCAGTTAAATTAGGTACTATTTAAATATTAAAAAGAAGAAGAAGAAAAACGGCTGCAGCTCAAAGGTTATTTTCACGCAAGACGAAAGTATTAAAAATTTAAATTTGCAATACTATAATTACCGGAGATGGAAGGAAAGTAGCTATTTTTAGAAAAAAATCAATATATTTTAATTATCGCATGTACTTTGATAAGTAATCAAATTCGGATCTTAGAATTTTTTTGATATTTTTTTCTGTGACAGCTACTGCCTCTGTTTTTAGAACTAATACTGAAAAATACAGTAATAAAAGGCTAAAACTGTATAACAGCAAAAATCTTTTTCTTTCCTGCGTAACGTCTAATGCATGAAAAGCAAATAACGTTATTTTTTATAGCATAGACTAAGAGTGTGATAATTTTATGAAATGGTTACATTATATAGGTAGTTAAGATAACACCACTGGAACACGTAACACAAATTAATATTAATTTTTAATATATAATGATCATCCTTTATATAATCATTATTTACATAATTTAATGAATACGATAGCACGAACTAATATTAATTTCTGATGTGTGATGATCATCATATACATAATTATTTACATAATTATTTGTGATGCCACAATTGGCATACACATATTTATTTTTAAGATTTTGCGTTGATAACCCAATTCGCTCCTTGTAACTAGGCACCAATTTTATGGAGAAGGAATATTTCAATACTTTCTTTTTATTTCATTATTATGCAGACATATTAATTCACTGTCGCCTATAATCGAAAGCAAAAATCTATTTATAACTTTTTATTCTAATTTTCCAACGGCTAAATGTTTTGGTTGCATGGTTGTAATAATTCTCATAAATTTGTTGGCGACTCGTGATCGCCAAGGTATTCTTTTAAACCCATATTGATAGGCTGGTTGGCTTTGTTTTGGCTATGTAATATTTTAATAGATCGCCAATTTTGGATCTCCTACCAATGCTTCTGTCTCCGTTGGGAGCAATTTACATGTACCTTTTAATTTGGCTTTTGATTAGGCAGGTTGTGGGGGATTTATCTCCCATGGCCTGTCCTTATTAATATTATTATGCAAAACTTATTCAACTGAAATTCTTATGAATGATTTTTATATTTTGTAACTCGAGCTCTGCAAATATACTACTAAATAAAAGCTTTTTTTATTAAATATGATCCGGTTCAACTGCTAATTTTCATCACCCTCCTACAACTCCTGCCTATTCCACCTCAACATAAAATGGCACACTGAAATATTCCTTCTCCATATTATTATTTACATCACTTAATGGATAAGATAACACAAATTAGTAATAAAACTTAATATATAATGATCATCCTATATAATCTCATTATTTACATAATTTAATGGATAAGATAAGACAATAATTAATTTCTGTTACATAATGATTATCATTTATATAATCATCATTCACATCATTTAACGGATAAGATAACAGAAATTAATATTAATTTCTGTTATATAATGATTATCATTTAACGGATAAGATAACAGAAATTAATATTAATTTCTGATATATGATGATTATTATTCATATAATCATTATTTAAGTCGTTTAATGGATAAGATAAACACAAATTAGTATTATGCTCTGATAAATAATGATAATCATTTATATGATAATTATTTATATCATTTAATGGATAAGATAACATAAATTAATATTAATTTCTGATGTATGATAATCATTATTTATATACTTTAATGTAGGGTTTCTGTTTGGTGTAAGGACCCCATCGTATTTACGAACTTTTGTGGGGCCTCATAAGCATGGCATAAATCCGACACTTATGTAAGTGAACTGTCAATTTTCTTGCCAGTACTGTAATATGCTACGCAGTTTTAGGTTATTAACCTTAACTTTTAATTTTAAGACGTAGAGCAACCTGAAAATTAAAGATAAGCAACAAACTTAAAAATATAATACAATAACAAGAAAGCGTCGAAATGTTTTCGTTTTCTCTTCGTCTGTAATGTCTTTTTTTTATTATCTATTTTCAAATGCATTGCGTAAAAAAATACTGTAATTGTAAAATTATTATAATAAGTTAAATAAATATCAATATTGCTAAAATGTTTGATGATCCCATCCCTGCTGTAGGTTTCGCGGCTCCTATTGGGGTCGGAACCCACAGTTTAAGGAATTTTAATATAATGAACAATTTAATAAATTAATATAATAAGTTAATATGATACATAATGAACATCATTTCCATCATTTAATGTGGATAAGATAATACAAATTAATACTAATTTCTGATACACGATGATCTTTGTTCAACACTAAATGCTTGAAACATAGCAATTTTATTACGAAAAGTAAGTTTTTAACCAATACTTTTTTCTTTGTTATTTTTTTCTGCTTATTGATCTGGATTTAATTATATAAACAGCGTTTTGATATCTTCAAAAAATTCTGATAGCTTTAAAATATTTTTACAATATCATATTTTTCAGAAAGTTATAAAAAAATGTTAAAAAATGCACATAACAAACTTATTACCCTGAAGTGGCAAAAAAGAAGTAAATGAACAAATTTGACATTAAATTTTAAAAATGAGAAACGTTTAGAAAATGAAATAAAACTTTCAGGCTAAAAATATACATTCTCTTTTTCTCATGTTAACCTCTCTTTTTATTCTAAAATTTTAAAATAAAGCAAAAACATTTCCACATTCATATATGTTTATAAACTACCAATTACGCACTACGCACTAAAATGCATTCAATTAAATTATCAATATAGTAATAAAATAGTAAATACAGTAAGTAATAAAATAGTAAATAAAACTTATACTTCAGTACTAACTTAATAATCTTAAAATTTTAATGTAATTTATATTCATATGCAATTCATTTTGATACAATGTTCTCAGTCACGTTATATCATATTATCGGTACCCTAAATCAAATACACTGAAAGAAATTTATTTAATTGGTAAAATTACAATTTATTTCGTTGTTATTTTACCATATTCAAACAAAATAGTCAAATAACCAAAAAATAGATGGTATTCAAACTGTTAACTCTGAGAAAAACCGTTTATTAACTGCTTTCAGCTAATGTGGTTAAACAACCAGCATTTTGATGTGAAAATACCAGATAAACTAATTAAACCACATCCCAAGGTTTATTTGATAAAACACAATTCAACCACATCCTAACTCCAATATTCATTACCCGTTGAAAAGTCTAGCTTTAATGTCCAATTTAACTTTTTCTTTACGGTTCTGAAACTGTACTAGTAGTAAATTGTTAGAAAACCGCACAGTTTTGTATTCATAGTTTTTTAACCATACTAGTTGTAAACAGTTTTAAATTCCGTAAATGTAAAAAATGTTCTTTACCGTAAGCATTACGGTTAATTGGATAGACAGATTGGTGTTGGTTATTTTACCGTAATTTTGAAATGATAATTATAACAGGCTATGGCTTAAATTTGCTATAATTTTAATTAGGTATTAAATTGAATTTTATATGATATTTCGTTCAATTAGAATCATTATATCATACATTCAGATTTATGGAATACCATAGTATGGTTTAAGTTAGCTTCATGTAACAGTTGCAGAAAAATTCAAAATAAATAAGGCATGAAATTGAAGCATGTTTTCATTCAAGTTGAAGCACAATATTATGTATTCAAATTTTCAAAATACGGAAATATGGTTTAACTTATTATATTACGGTTGCAGAAAAATTGAAAATAAGTGGGGTATAAAATTGAAGCGTGTTTTCGTTCTAGCTGAACCATAAAATCAAATCATTTATTCAAATTTGTGAAGCACAATAATATGGTATAAAATTAGCTCCATAGTACGGTTGCAGAAAAATTGCATCCTATTATAAAAGGTTTCAGAATATATTTATTCTTCAAAGTTTGTTTTTTAAGCATAATTAGACCCATTCTACCTCTCCGATAATAAAACTTTATAATATGTACCTTTTTATATTTATTTATTGTATTATATTTATTTATTATGATAATTATTAAGTAACAACATTTTTAAAAAAATGGAACTACGATCTAAATGGAAACATTATTATATATTTTAATTTTAACTATTGGTTATAATGCTATTGGTTACAGTGAGAAAAAAGTTTGGTCAAAACTACCAGAATAGGGTAAAATTTGCCGTGTTTCTGGCTATTTTTAAACATTAAAAAGCTCCGTAATATTTGGTAATGATTATGGTGAAATTAAAAATAAAATTTTTATTTTATAATATGTGATAAAATTTGGTAAATATGGTAAAACTTGATAATTTTACCATGACACCTTTCAGAATCGCATGAAAACCATTTATTCGGTTGAATTTACTTTTCAGTTCGGTATTTTTTACTTAGTGTTTGGTAATAGAAACAATGATTTTGAAAGCTAGAATTTATGGCAAACTGTAACCTTATGAGCGATAAAATTAACAAATGAATGATTTAAGTATCGTACATTTTGATAACTGTAACCAGAATTAGGACCTTTTTTGCATCCGAATTGTAATTATCATATTATTGCCGGAATTTTTTTTTTCGTGTGTATTACTGATTAATTTTTATTACATTATACAGAAATAAAACTTTTACGAAATCATCATTTTCTTTAAAAGAGTTTTATTATTTAAAATTCAACTTTTCTTCAAAACGTTCTCCTTTTATGTTCCATGTCTTTATTCAATGTTAAATATAGCAATAAGCACTTCATTTTCTCTATTTTTTCTCATAATTTTATTTGTTTTGTGTTGATTCCAATATTATGTACTTTACAAACACTTTCTTTTTATAGAAAAAATTAGTTTTTCATTCAAACATAAAATGAGTTCAGCTGATGCATTCAAAGTGATTTATGTCTATTTTCGCAGTGAACTTTAAAATAATATCTGCTAAATAATTATTAATTGGAATAATTCTGAAATAAGATTTTTGCGAAACCATAATCTTTTTCAAAGAGTTTTATTACTAAAAATTTATCTTTTTTAACTGTCTTATTTTATGTTTTATGTATCTTTTATTCAGCGTTAAATATAACGATAAACAAATTCTTTACTCTCTTTTTTATGCATATTTTTATATTCATTATCGTTAATTCATTACTTTACAAACAATGTTTTTTAAGAAAAATATAAACTCGCCTTTCTTCTTTCTTTTTTCTTTTTCAAAAATATCAAATGAGTCCAGTACTTGCATTTAAAGTGATTTATCTATTTCTAAATATTTCTAGGAAATCATTTACATTTCTGTTTTTGCAGTGATCTCTAACACAGTATCTTATAAGTAATTATTAATTGGAATAATTCTGAAATAAATTTTTTCCGAAATCATAATTTTTTTCAAATAGTTTCAATATTAAAAATTTATCTTTTTTCAACTGTCTTATTTTATGTTTCATATATTTTTTAATCAGAGTTAAATATAACGATAAACAATTTATTTGCTCTGTTTTTTTCCGCATATTTTTATATTCATTACCGTTAATTCAATATTTTACAAACAATGTTTTTTAAGAAAAATAAAAATGCGCCTTTTTTTTTCTTTTCTCTTCCTTTCTTTTCCAAAATATAAAATAAGTTCAGTACTCGCATTTTAAGTGATTTAGTATTTCTAAATATTACTAGGAAATCATTTACATTTCTAATTTAGCAGTGATATTTAACATAGTATCTTCTAAGTAATTACTAATTGGAATAATTCTGAAATAAAATTTCTACGAAATCATAAATTTCTTAAAAAGAGTATTAATTTAAGAAATTATTATTTTTTTTAATTTTCTGAATTCATAGTTTAAACATTTTTTATTCAACGTTAAATGCAACTATGAACACTACATTCTTTCTATTTGTTTTATTTTATATTTATTCCACTTTTTTTAAAGAAATATATATATAAATTCGTTTTTTACTTCTTTTTTCTCTCCAAAATATCGAATGAATTCAACGCATTCATTCAGTATTTCTAAGCATTATTAGTAAATCATTTACATTTCTATTTTTGCAGTGAACTTTACAATAATATCCCTTGAGTGATTAAATATTAAAATTTTCACTCGCCACAACCTTTCTATTGAAAGTAGTTCATCGGTGTATGAATGAACAACAAAGCGAAAAATCATTACTCCAAAAATCCCTCCACCCTTAGTGAAATCCGAAATATCCCCGAACTCACCCGAAAATCCCTGAGTCTGGTGTCCACTACGCATGCGCGACCTCCATCGCCTCAATTTTGTCCTCCTCGTTCCTGTCCAGTCTCCATTTCCGGAAAAGTGGGAAAACCGTTTTGGAGTTGTCTCTTACAAATGCATCCTTATTTGCTATCGTTCTGAGTTATATTCTAACAAGTGAGGGCTTATTATTTACTGTTGACGATACTTTACGCTTCATCGCTATCGATTGGAACATTTATTAGTTCTTTTTACTGGAAAAAGTTGTAGTTCATGGTCAGCCTACGCACAAGACTCCGGAATTTTCCTTCAAAGAAGACAAGTCTACGTTGGGGAGATTCTTGCGTCAGATTTTTCCCGTTTTCCTTGACCTTTCAGTGATTTGAAGCTGTTTTATTTTCTATCACCAATTCACCGGTTCAAATCAAAACTTTGTTTCTTATTTTGAAAATGTTGGAACACTGTCTTTAGTTATTTCGCCAAGCAACAACTCCTGAATAATCCCACATCACCTTTCGAATTTCCGGAAAAGAGGGAGGAGAGTCTTGATATTAGTAAGTACAAAATTCAATCTATTTCTGTTTTTCTAGAACATTAACAGTTGTTTATATTTAACTGTGAAAAACACTAAATCCTAATGGCATTCTTTTAAATTCCCACGAATTAATATGTAATAAATACAACTTATTAATTTAATTGTTAGCTTTCTCTTTGTTCTTATTCCTATTTGTTGAAAAAGTCTAAGTGTATGTTGTTGATTGTATATTTTTACCGTAAAAAAAGTTCATGTTCAATATATTTCAAAAATCACTCGCATGAATTCAAAAATTTGAAGAGATAAATCATTATTATAAGTCTAAATTATTCACTATAATCACTTTGCTCTTAGTTACATTATTTACATTGGATATAATAGTTAAAGTTCACGTTGCTGATAGTATATTTTTACTGCAAAAAAAGTAAACATTCAATATATTTTAAAAATTGCTAACCTGAATTCAAAAATTTTAAGAGATAAATTATTATTTTAAAACAAATCACTTTGCTCTGATTCACATTTGTTGTAAAAGTTAAAATTTGCATTTCTGATTGTATATATTTTCCATAAAAAATGTAAACATTCAATATATTTTAAAAACAACTTGTTAGAATGGAAAAACTTTAGAGATGAGTCATTAATGTGTGGTTAAATTATTCACGTTTGTTGTATTGATTTTATTGTAAATATTTTGGTGTGTATTTCACGCTCCATAAGTTTAAATATTTATGCTCTCATGAACTCATACATCATAGAAAACAAAAGTATTTATTAAATTATTTACTCCTTTTTTTATTATTCACAATTGTTGCAAAAGTAGAATTAGATATTTGTTACATAATTTATACTTTCAATCGTAAAAAAAGTAAACATTAAATATTTTTTTTAACTTTTCAAGAACTCAAGTATTGTAAGAGATGAAAATTTAATTTAAGTATTAAATTCCACCTTAGCAGTATTCACATTCGTTGCAGACACTTTAATATTTTACACATTTTAGAATTTTTTTTAGAGCAAGAAAGAGTATTAAAGGTTTTACTTTTAAATTCGAATAAATTCAATGCTTTTAAAGATGAATAATTAATTTAAGTCTCATTATCATGTTAGCTATATTCATGTTTTTGAGTAGAATTTATTGTTTTCATATTGGAATATATTCCATGCCACACATGTTAAAAATGAATTAAAATATTAAGTTTACCTTAATTTATATATCTTAAGAAATCTATTACACATTTTTTAGTCGCAATTTTTTAGCAGTTTTGCTATGATATTTATTGCGATGACTTCATTATATAACATAGTAATAGTATAACAAACTACTACTCGATTATTTATTATTTTTAAATTATTGGATTTTGATGTGGTAATATTAACTTTAAGTTTGACAACTGCTGTTTTTCATTTAATTTTGGGCTTCAATATTCAAAGAAAACATTTTTAAAAAAAAGAAAAAAATAATAATAATAATAGATACCTAAATAATAAATTCTTCCTTTCAGGACGTTTGAAAATTTATTTTGCAAATTTTTCATGATGATGCTTGACGATTAAATACGTAGAAAATCAAGATTATTAATGCAATCTTTGGAATTCTAACAGAAAGTTATGATACATTCATGTCAGATCCTAGATCTTAAAACATGTATCAATATTTTTTTAAAAGAAAATAGTAGTATTTTAAATTGCTAAAACAATTTAAACTAATTATATCACAGGTATTTTCCATGTAATATGTTCAAAATACTAATAAAGTGTACTGATATGAAATGAATTTGACATTCTTTTTATAAAAAAAATATTTTTTTTGACGGTATATATATTGATAGCTATGTTAATTTTTAAGTGCTCAGTTTTTTGCCAGACTTTTTTTAAATTTGTATTAACTATAGATAGAAAATAAATGTTATAGAATAAATGAGGATAAATGTTATGAATAAATAAATGAAAATTAAGCGTTATAAACATATAAATGAAAATAAATGTTATAAATGTCAAAAAAGGTGAAACAATTTTTTAAAAATTACTGTGCATGCGAATACCATTTGTCTTTAAAGTCAAGAATTCGTAATTACAAATTTCAAAATAGTTCCATTTAATTGTTTCATAATTCTTTCCTTTTTATTTCTGTTCTCCTACTTTTAACGTGTTTCCTTCATTTCTAACAAAACAATGTCATCAGATTAATATAGCTTTTGTAAATAAAGTTTAAAGTGATTGTACTCTAAAAAAAATTTACTGTAATTTAGACCTTCTCCGTTACTTGCGATTTTTTAAATTATTGAATAATGGTTTTATAATTATAATTGAATAAATTTTACTTTTAATCGAATATCTAAAAATACTTACTTATTTAATCCAACTGTACTAATCAATGGATAGAAAAAAATTTAATAATATGTGCAATGTTTTAATTGAAAATTATTAAAAGTTTTCAGTTATATAATTTTTAAAAAAATGCAAAAATTTTAGTCTTGTTGTTATTGATCTGATATATGCTAAATATTGGTGATAAAGCAAAGTAACGCACTGAGAAAAAAAAGTATGGGCAAAACTATTAGAATATGGTAAAATTTACCTTGCTCTATGAAAATACCAAAATGCAGGGTAATTTTTACTGTGGTATTTTGGTAATAAATTTTGTAAAATTAACGACAAATTATGGTTTTACAATATGTGATAAAATTTGGTAATTTTATCGTGATACTTTAAAGTAGGGCATAAAAAGCATTACCTGGTTAAATGCACTCTTCAGTTTTGCACTTTTTACTAAATGTGGAGAAATAAGAACTATAATTTTGAAAACCAGAATTTCCGATAAGCCATAATTATATAAATAGAAATATGAATGTGATGAAAAAATTGAATGAAAATGAAAGGTTTAAATACAGTATATTTTGGTTTTATAATAAATTTTTTATTATTATGGTTATTTATTAACGTCAAATTATGTTTTTTTTTATTTAAAAATGTAGAACTGATTATGCTAAAAACAAGGCTTTTAAAACGTAACTCATAAAAAAACACTTTTCAGTTACCACGTTTCAGTTACGCGCTACTAAAATTAACCCGTGTGCTTTTAGCACATGCACATATTTAAAAAAAAAAACGTTTGGGCGAACATAATAGCATAGTTTTTAAAAGCGCTCTTCTAGCGTTAATGAGATATTATTAAATTTTGATTTTTCTTGATCATGTACAGTTTAGTCAAATTTAATTAACATTCATTAATGCTACAAAATAACAGCCTATTCTTAAACACGAATGAAACTACGCTTCTGAAAATCGAAATTTTTCCAAGTCATACTCAAGTGTAGTATTTTATTGTAACTGCTGCATAGAATGTAATAAAATTTGCAAGTACAGAGGTTCTTAAAGTTTGTAATCTACAGGCCTTTTTGAATGACATTTTCTTTTCCTCGGGATGCAAGCCGCATTTCAATCTCAAACATTTTGTGTCATTATTGAGATTTAACTTCTGGCTCAATAATCTCTTAAGCAGTACATTATAATTAATGCTGAAGATGCATTGCTCTTTCTTTTCAATAAATGATCTCGTAAATTTATAGCGTTAAACATTTATAGGATAGAAAAAATAAATTAATAAAATATTGAAGTAAAAAAAAACTTCCAAACAGATCAAATTATAATGTTCGCTGCAATTTGTTTTCGAATGAAAGGGGCACAGTTGTTTTGTACAGTTCCAGAACAAAAATGGCGTATTTTCTGTTGGAAAATTATATTTTAATGTCCACTTTTACACTAAATTTGTTTTTATTCCTTGTTTTTGAAACTTGTTTACATAAATATGTTTTTAAGGAATTAAATATTGAATTGCTCTGTTTATTTCAAAATATCGAATTTGCAGAAAACAGTTTTAGAACTCCCCCACTGTAAAAAAATTTGCAATATATTTCGTTGGAAAGTACCGACACTCAGTGTGCCAGTATTTTAAACAAAAAATCTGATATACCGTAATTTTTACAGCACTATTTACAGTAAAATTCTTGACTCTCTATAATTAACGTTCTGAAAAATTAAGGTTTAAAATTCTGCAGTAATAATGGATTTCGTTGCAAAATGGATTTTACAGTTGCTGCATTCGAGATACCAGTGCTTTTTCCTTATTTTTATACAGCGCCCACCAATAATTTTTATAAAAATGTCTATAATTGTAATTGCAAACGTCCAATTTGCTTCGTTAAATTTTATTTCGAACAACTTTTAATTGCAATCATTTTAAAAACAATGAAAATATTCAGTTTTGTATCCTAATATACTAATAATACATACCAATATACTATTAATATAAACAAATACTAATAATGTGAATTAAAACTTTAATATATAAGGAAGTAAAGCCCTAAAAGCTCATGGTACTGACTTAATTATTTTAAAAATGTATTATTCTACTTTAAAAAATAACACTTAAAAATTTTTTTAATAACACCATGTTTTTAATAGGCATCATTTAAGTAACAATTGAAAAGATTTTCAACAATTTTTGAAGAAGTATTTTTAGACTCTTATGAAATTTGCTTTTTGTAACCTTCAATGAAAAAGAAATTAAACGTCTAAAAGGAAATATTGAGTTAATGAATAAAGTCCACTGCGGACCTCTAAATAAATAAATAATGTATGAAAGAAGTTTAAAAAACAAATTAACAGTAAAATAAAGATAAGAACGGAAAGGGAAAGCTAACGAATGAAGTTAAAATAATTGAAAACATTTTCATAAGCGCTTTATTTATACTTAGAAATTAAAGAATTTTTTTAATGAATTTATTTATTGAAAATGTGAAGGATTCAAAAAATAAAAAAATTATAAAAGTCTCGAAAAAATAAACAGTAAAATAAGCGTCGAAAAAGAAACGATAAGTTAATGAATAATGCGTCCTCTAAATAAATACTGCGGTCCTCTAAATAAATAAATAATGTATGAAAGTTTAAAAAACAAATTGACAGTAAAATAAAGATAAGAACGGAAATGGTAAGTTAACGAATGAAGTTAAAATA